CACTCTTGTTCGTCATAATTCCGATCTATGTGCGAATTTATTCAATCGCTCGCAATCATGCAAGGCTCATCGCTAAGCAAGGGGAGCATATCAAGAGAGATTCAAAAAAAAAAATTGAAAAGGAAAATATAGCAGCAAAAACCATTGGGTTCGTCATAGTCGTCTTTATCATTTGCTGGTTGCCTTTGCTCATAACTCCGATGATTTTCCGTCACAGCGAGAACAGCCGCATTGTCAGAAAGTCTTTGAAATGGGTTCAGACTCTCGCTTTATGCTCGTCAGCCTTGAACCCTGTTATTTATAGCCTGAAAACGCAGATTTTCAGAAAGGAATTGAGAAAAGTTTTCAGGAGCGCTCTGAAACGACATTCTCGGGCAGACCAACAGATAACATATGTCTAAAAACTCGACTGTAAACAAACATTGATTTTCCTCTAAATTGATTTCGCTTAAACCATTATTTTGCGGGAACCCTTTTAGGATAAAATTTTATTCAGAATAGGAAAGCGTACTAATGCAAAATTGAATGATTATAAAAATACTTTAATCGTTGCGCAAATAATCAATTTATTAACCATTCGAGTCGCGCTCGATAACCGAGTTGTTGTCATAACTTATTGCATAATAGATCCTGTTTTGAACTAGTCTTGCAACGACTATATTTCACAAAATATTTTCTCGATATGATATGCATGCAAGATTGTAAGTAACGTTTACTTTAGTTGTTAGCGAACGGAAATTCGTCTAGCCGAATGACATCAAACTTAATCGCTCGGCGTTCTTAAAAAGTAGTTATCGTTATTCAGCGATGTTAGGCTTTTATATTTGTGTAGATATGGTCGACTCGTGGTTCTTTCCTGTTGCGCTCTTCAAAAGACACCAAAAAGTAAAAAAAACAAAAAAAAAAAACACTCGTTCTAAAAGCCTTTTTTATAAGTATGCGTTTACAACAGTAGTATGTGATGTAAATTTTAATTTTGTTACTGCCTCAGCATTTTGAGATCAGTTTACGTAGCTCTCTCGTTACTTGAATCAAAGTTTTGACGTCTACTTGAGTGGCTGTTGGTTAAAGGTCACTTTGAGAGTCATTGCTAAAATATGTATGGACAACAATTAAAAGAGTAAACACCCAAAAAGAAAATTTCCTATCTGCCTTTTGTGTCAATCACCCACCTCTTTCTCTGCAGGAGAGCCTTGTGAAATGTTACCCGGCTTCTCCTTTAAGATGTTTCGTTTCTATATGCATCATGCAAGGAAGTAAAAACAGCAATTTTTATTTCAAATGTATGCTTTGGTTTGGAAATTTGCACCGCTTTTGTTCCTTTCGTTTTGCTCTGGCCTGGTCTCAATGAAGGTTGTCTCAGTGTACACCAACATTATGAAATAAAAAGTGATAGCTTTCAATAGTAGAAAGTATCCTAACTGTCCTATAACTATGATCGAAGCACTAATAACATATTTTGATCTGCCCATCTTTGATACAAATCGTGCCAAATTTTAAAGGGGTTGTCAGTTCTCAGCCGACTGCGCATTATTTGGACATTGATGACTGATATGAAGAAAGTTGTAAAATAATCCACCTACGGATTCCTTTGTTTGACTATACAAAGAAAATTTTGATATAAAACCAAACAAGACTAGCCTGCGTTTTGAGAATGCTTATCTGAAACCTTCATGGACATTTTGTACAGCTAAAGCTTAATTTTTTTAATATTCCGCATATGTTAACCTGAAAAACTGAAGAAAATTCTGATCACGTATACATATGTAATTAAATGATGGATCAGTCTTAAACCAGACATTGATGACAGTTTAAGTAAAGTTATTCATGAATTTTACTTATCAACTAAGGAATTGATTCCCTACTCGAATCTTCTATTCCAGAATAACCCACATTATCCGTGATTTATTCACTCTTACGGAAGCTTTGTAACTAACGGGATTAGTTATCTCATCACAGTTAATTTAAAAATCTACTATCGACGTCACGCGTATCACCGGGTCAATGGGTCTGGGTTAATGCCAAACAGAAAGTGTAAGTATATTTGCATCTAGTGATCAGTTGACTGATTTGAAAATCAAAATGCGTAAGAATTTTCTGTTCAATCTTTCGTTCAATAGAGGCGATTTTTTATTGTTCTTTTACTTAATGTTTTCATGAGCCTGGTGTGTGTGTGTTTGAAAACTTAACCTTCCGTGGTAGCCTCCGTGGAAATACTTATGAAGACAGCAATAGACTTCGTTTAGTGCACTACCTTAATGATATGATATTTGAAGATCTTTTACAGTCAACTCAAAGGTCTCCCTCTGCCGATGATTTTTTTTCTTTTTTCTTAAGCATGTTTTTGTCTTTGCTTTCGTTTTCACGTATTTAGATCATCTTTATAATTCTAACTAAACCTGCCATTTGTGAGTTTTTTGTTTTTTTTGTTTGTTGTTTAGCACTTGTTGCAATGATGTTATCTGGTCAGTGATGCGCTAGTTACAATTATTTTTAAGCACTTTGAGCCCTTTGCATCTCTCAGTCGCTGAATACGTGGTGCTGTAGAACCATTATATAATTTTAGGGCTTATCTTAGATGTAACCTGCCTTTGGAAGAGAGTGTTGTGATTAATTACAAGAACAGCTGAAGAACTATTTTAAGCCTGAAGCCGCCAAACCATAGTTCTCCTTCGACTACAGGAATTTCGTATTCTGAAGGAGTTACCCCCGTACTAAAGAAATCTATCTAATATATTAAAAAAATTTCATTGTTCCACTAGCCCGAAAGTTTTTTTTCAGCTGACTTAACCAATTTTTTTTTCCATCTTTTGTTGGCTCCTCAGACATAATTGGTCTTAATAGATCCCTTTTTTGGCAGAAATTTGACCATAGGACTTGAGTTATTGAAGTGTAGCCCCTGGAGTCTGTATAGAAGTATTACGAGATCGTGAGATATAGGGTGAAAAAGGTTATTTTGATTAAGGCTCATTAAATTGAAGTGAAATCATGAACGTGCAGCTGATGATGTAGTTACCACACATGTGGTAGAGTGAATTAGACGGATTTGTGACTAAGCGTCTGTTTATGATGAAGTAGAGACTAGCTATTCGCGACTTTTTTAGACCGATTGTCTCGTCAATGAAAATTTTGGGAATCAGTTTTGTTTGAAATATCAATGCTAACATGATAGTTTTCAGGATCATTTGGATCATCACATCACAGGGTTTTGTCCGATGGATTTTTATATCACCGTGATGTGACTAATCTAAGGTCCAGTTTTTTTTTCTGTGAATTTTGTGAATTTCCTTTCGATCACCTAGTTTTTTCCATTTATTTGTGTCTCAAAGCAAAGCAAAAAGAAAGAAAAGAGAAAGCAAAAAGAAAATATCTACATGCGAAAGTTTGCATTTTAAGTTGTTATTGACCTGGCATTTTTAGGTTTTCAGATTAATATTGGTGTGCATTTAGTTGTTTATAGGCTGTTCTTCCTGTTTTTGTTTGATTTATCGATTCCATTATGATGACGTTGCTGGATAAAGTGCACTCATGGACCCCAGAAATTCCGTGCGAAAACTGATCTGCTAAACACAAGACGTTCTAAGCAATAAGAAGACACAAGATAATTCATTTTGGCATTGTATAACTGGTGTTGCTGTACAGATCTGAGGAATTTTAATGAAGATGTAACCTGGCTTTGGCAGCAATACAATTAAATTGTCGCGTGTTGATGATAACGTGATAACTGTAGAACTAGAGAAAGATTTAGTGCGATTAACCATTGCCATCCATCTATAAAATTAAATTTGAAGTAGTATCCTTATCAAAATAAAGAATTCTCTCTATTCATAGCTGGAAAACCCTATTGTTCTATCTGCGTAAGACCCTGATTATGAAATCACTAAAGACCTTTTGTCAACTTTTTTGCTCAAAGTTGCGTTGATCTTCTCTTAGGTTAATCTCACTCAGATCAAATTGGCTTGACAAGGACTTAACTCTATTGAAATTTTGCGACCTGAAATTTGTTTTTACTGAAACTTCATGCTTTGTTGTCATAATCGCAAGATATAGAGTAAAGCACCGGTATCTTGGGATTAAAGGCTTGTTTGGATTCAGGATAATTAGTTTAAAACGAAAAGGTGACGTAAACTCATAAACACGCGGCAGTCCATGTATTCACTACCAATGTGTCAAACGTGTCGGTTACTTTGAAAGGCGCAATATAAACAGGAAGATTGATTAAACAGTGAGATAGAAAACACCGAGGAAGTAACAATGAGCCAAAGAGGATCAAGTAAGGAAAAATTTAACACGAATTATAAATTACGAAATCTGTGGAGCTCGCACATCTATGGAAATATAGTTAAACAGGAAGATTGATTAAACAGTAAGATGAAAAACACCGAGGAAGTGAAAAAGAGCAAAGAGGAACAAGTAAGGAAAAGTTTAACTCGAATTACAAATTAAGTCTGTTCAGCTCATCTATGGCATTTCTGAATTCGATATAGGACCTTGTTCTTATTATTGTTTGCTCGGTTTGAATCGATCCAGGACCAGTTGCTGTTTAACTTACCATAATAATATTTGATAATAACTGTAATAATTATAATGATAATAACAGGTAGAATACCAATAACTATGACAGTAATAATATTCCGGATAATGATATTAATAGTAGTAACTTTTATAACTATTATTATCTTACAGAATTGTTCGTGTCTCTGCGCTAGATTGAAACAAAAAACTAACAAATTAAAAACCCAATGAAAAAAAGTCTTATTAATCTAAATTTTAGGAAGCCTTTTGGCTGCCAAAATTACGCAAGCCCTCCTAAAAGCTCTCATGTTGTTACACCTTTTTTCAGTTGAAACATTTGCTCGAAACTTATGAGATACGTAAGAATATCTTTAGCAACCTTGTTTCTTAGTTTTTTTGTTTTGTTTTTTCTTTTCTGAATTTGTTCCAGTTGTACCTGTGGATTAACTGGACTTGCTGAAGCTGTGTTCGAAAATGTTGGTGCTCATAAAGAGGTAACTGGATAATTGTCGCACCTGAAATAAAAAACATTGTTTAGGTATAGAATAAAGGGGTAAGTTTTCAAAGAAACGATGTTACTGCGTCGATGGGGGTTCAAATGTATAGCGAGATAATTTGGTTTTATCGATTGAATTGATCATGTAAATTGGACATGAGTTTTAAGAGTTAAGAGTTTTAAAGCTGACTGAACCTTTTACGGTGGCCAATTTACATTATCAACTCAGTTGTTTTAAAAACCAAATTATCTTTGGGAGTCGAGTTTTTCGGAGAGTGATTGAGCTATCCATGATTATTGTATATTTCTTAACAGGTGCCAGTCTTACATACATAAATATCATTTACATTTTCTTCGCTCAGCTGTTCTTTTAAAAAGATTAGACACCACAGATCGTTAGCTCTGATATCCAATAAACCCAAGTTTAACATTTCATCTTGGATTAGTGTCAACCAATTCCTGCTATCCCCTCACCTATGGTTACACAGGTGGATCAAACTCAGCGGGGGGGGGGTAAAATTATTTATTACCCTTTAGAGTGTTTCTAAATGTCGTTTTACAGGTCTTGGGTTCTTTGCTCAAGCAAGGACGATTCCACAAAGCCGTCAACTACTTAGGAGATAACGAGAACTTAGCTCGGACAGGTAAATATAACTTAGCCTTGAGTTTATAAATAATTAAGTGACCATCGTTTCAAGGATTTTCAAAAAAGAGAGCCTTTAACTGATACCTTTGCCTTGTTATCGAAATTTCTCAGCCGATCTCTACTATTCACATCTCAGAGTTTCCTGAGAGACAGAAGGCGTTTCCTACATACAAAAAAAAATTCCAGAAATTTCGTGTGAAATTCCCATTGGTGAGGAACGTATCCTATACTTGACAAAAGCCCTAAAGCTAGGCGTGTGTCCTATTGAGATTAATCATTTTAGTTCGGTTTTGTTTCCTCGTGTTATACTGATTTATAACCTTTTATACTCGAGTATCGTTGTTTGATCAATGGGCCTCCACGTAATCATCCCTAAATACGAAGAGAAGGTCTCTGTTCACTATCTAAAGATGTCACTGCATATCAATCTAGTTTACCATTAGAATCAGCCATATTTATTGACCAAAGATCTAATTAAGCCTTCTAAAAACTAGAAAATGTATAACAGCACCACCTTTTCAGACATTTCATATATAACTATATTTTCTCTTGGAATTATGTCTCTAACCTTAAAATATGTAAGCCCTCAACTTTTCTTTACCCGTATTTCTCTACCTTTACAAAGTATAATATACATTAGCTCTTCCTTTTAGCCCTCACTTTGGCTATAGATCTATTTACTGTGACACGATCAATAAGTTAGACTTGGTAATTAATAGGCATGACACCGGTCATTTTTTTTTTTTGCCATGATTTCATCCTTGGTAGGTTTGGTTGTTCACACGGTTCTTTATTCAGTTACAAAGCTATGGCGCGTTCTTGCAACTTGCATGAAGTTTCCAAAAAATCATGTTAAAATCTCATGGAACACCTGTATGACACTTTATCGGTCCCAATTTCTTAGATTTTATAGACGCCCTCCAGAAACTGCCACTTACGGACGCCATGCTATCTTTCTTGTGCGGTGATAGCAATGAAAACTGCCTGTTTTCCATCAATGAGGTAACTTGACTATCAACTTGTTTTAAAAATTTTTATTTACATGCTACCGTGCAAGCCGCTTCCAGTGAAAGCAATGCTACCCTAATTTATCAAATAGTGGAAGAGCAGACTTTATTTATCATGTTCTGAACCGCAAGACTCGTAAAATATGCTCACCTTTAGAACGTTTCTCACCTCCTCCCTCTCCCTTTCTCCTTTCGTGTCATACAATGAGGGTACTTGCTGTAACCAACAGACATTGAATCGTATTTAACCAGTAATTCTCTGATCTTACTCCCACAATCGATCGTTTCACTTTCAGTTCACTAATTTCCCAAATGGGTATTCAAAAACGATGTGTGACAACAGTTTTTCAGATATTCCAAATGGGTTTCACAGCTGCAGGGTAATGGAGGCGTGGGAGAGGGGAGGGGAATAACAGCAGAAAAAGCCACACATCGAACGGTAGAAAGAGCAGCGTTCATATGGTAACATGCTTATGGACTGAGGTAGTTCGTGATGGACGAGCAAATATTTCACTCTTAAGCTAAATAATCAGTCAAAAGATACATCTCAAAATATCCCAACGAGTGTCCAGACAGAAGCGTAAGAAATCAGCCTTACGTTTCCATTCTCTCTTTCAGGCTGCTGATCTTTTGGCACATGTGCTTGTGAACTCATCCCTCCGTCATGCTGCCAATAGAGAGCACGGAGAAGGAATTGTTCTTTAAGACTAACGTAAAGGACACAAAAAATTTTTAAAGTAGATAATTCATTAGCAAATTTCGTCAACGCATCGGAGATTATTTTGCGGATTACAAACAGTAACTCTGGAACGTTTCTAGTGGTTCTCCCCAGTTTGAAGTGATCATTCTTCATTCGTTTTCAAATCACACTTTTGCTTCACGATCCCATGAAAATCGTCGAACACTCAATAATGTACCCACCGCGTTAACCGAATGTTATTAAAATTAATCATTGGTCCGACCATGTGGTCATTAATTTTATCTTTCCCTCAATAGACAGGAAAAATATCAGGAATTGAAAAGAAATATCTTCGCCCTTTGAAACTAATTTCGCACCCTGCATGACATTCTACATGCGATGTAGTGTATTTTTCTGCATACAACTATATGCTTTGCGCGAATAATTTGCGCTTTACGCGTGCAACGCACATGCAATTCGAGATGAAAAACCACTACCCCTTGGATTTGTAAATAATTTTTTCTTAGGCCTTGAGTATTCGTCATATGAAATATATGACGCCAAATAGATTTATTGTTTTACCGCTGACTCTATGTTACTGTACCGTGTATTGACCTTGCTTCCCAAGTAACGAAAGCTAACGAAGGTAAGATTGTTTGACTTTAGCCAGCATTTTCCATCCCTCGTTTCTACCTAAATCTATGAACATCATCTATTTTGTTCGTAATTTCGTTAGGGAGCACGCAAGATGAAAATTGTGTGCTCTAAGTAATTGCCTTGATCTAGAACTCGCGAGCTTTCGGCGATTAGACAGAGGCCAAAATAATTATATCCAACAGATCTTCTCAACAATATCAGAGGTAGCGCTAGCGAAAGCTCGCACATTGAGCCCCCGTAAATGTGTGAATATGTTTATGTTGTGCTATGGGTGAAATGTTAGGTTTCTGTGAGAATGGACGGTCGCACTCTCAACCCAATAATCTGTGTTTGTTTTGGACCAAAACAAAACTATCTTCAGTAAAAGTTTGTCCCTTCGCATGAGTTTTTCGGCTGATTCATGGCCACTTAGCCGTTTTTAGTTTTCTTGCTTTGCCCTGTTGGCAAGTGATTGTTATTGTATTGATTTGCGAGGTTTATAAACATATATACTGATACAAAGTTCATTCAAGATGAAGTAAAATATAACCTTTGTCACGCACTACGACGCATGGAATAAAAATGTTAAAAAATACATTTCACTTTTGTGGTTGTTAGCCAAATGCTCCCAGTATCTTCAAAAACACGATTTTAAATGTCTTTTATGATGAATTTAGTCGAAATGATCTCATAATGCGACCCTACAACTGTAATTCTAGTCCTGTGGCAGTATGGTAATGGCTCCTCATGCGTGACTAAGGGTGATACAACGAAATCATTCCTCCGACATGTTGTTTGAATGTGACTTTCATTGTGACTGTAACGCAACACTTAATAGTTAGTAGAGTTAGTAGTTGTCTGCTCGTTTTCAAAAGGCGACTGCTCCGACGAAAAAAGATCAGCTTTACAATGTTCAAACTTGTAATGACAATACGTAATTTTACGACGTTGAACCTACCCTGCTGGGATAATATGTAGCCAATTTGACAGGTAGATTTAAATGAGTAGGGAACTGTTGTTAAAAGTTATATATAATTTTTCTTTTTCTTTTTTCTTTAGGAATTTAAGAAGCTCTACGGCGTATAAGTGCAACACGTATTCTATTTCGCCCTTAATGGCGGCCAACAAATCTGCCAAAGAAATTCTGGCCTCTTTGAGAAATGAGCCATTCTCTGTGGAGACTGAAGAAAGGCTAGGAAGCCATGCTGTCGTCCAGGAAGCGAGCGCTGGAACACTCCCTCTGGCAGTTGTGGAACGACTTCTCTGCGAACAGTATCACATAATAGCCTCTGACACTCTAAGTATGGAGCACCTAGTGGCCAGGTTCAACGCCAATGAGATCATTCGAGAGTATTTCCAGTTCTTTTTGACAGGCGAGAAGATAGCTTTTGACAAGCTTCTCAGCATGGCAAAAGCTATGAAGCTTTCAGATTCACATCTGGAAGGTTATGAGCCTCGGGCCGAAGCCCAAGCTTATCCGTCGTATTTGTGCCGTCTAGTCCATTATGGCGAAGCTCCGCAGATTGCAGCAGCCATTGCGGTTAATTTCCCAGCGTTTGGACGAATGTGTTCGCGTCTCGCAGATGCACTGAAAAAGAACTACCACATGAAAGAAGAAGACCTGGAGTTCCTTCGATTCTTTGGTAGTGGGGATTTAGACGACGGAGCTATAAAGGCTATTGAGGCTTATAACGCAGAGGCCGATAAAGGCACGTTCAAGAAAGTTAATTACAGTGATATTAAACGTGCAGTTCGTCTACTGCAAGCGTATGAAGTGATGTTTTGGGACAGCGTTTTCTCCAATCGTTAGATCTCGTGATGTAGGCTTTACTGAATGCTGGTGAAACTGTCTTGATTGCTTTCGCGTAGTAAGAATACATACGTGCATGAAATGGGTGCAAGTTTGGCGTTTGTAATATTACTACAATTTACAGCAATTGCTATAGAAAACAAAACAAACAAACAAAAAATATATATATATATGTAGATGTATATATTAATGGCAAGGAAACCCAATAAAAACCATAAATGCATGTCTCAAAAGCGGTGCAAGATAAGTAGACAACAGATAGAGTAAACGACGTGTCGGCAAGTCATGTCAAAGTCCATAGTGGAATTAATAGTTGTTGGGAAAATATAATTTAAATAATTTCTTTTAAGTAAGTGAGAGATGAAGAGCTAGTGATGTCAGGAGTAAGGAAGTCGAAAAACGTTCAACCTTGATAGGAAATGGTCAGTATATATCATTCTGATAGTGGTACAGAATCCTCCTCCGGCCGTTCTTTGTGATGATCAAATCTCACTTCAAGAAATGGAAAAAGCCCTTTCCGCTAATCTTTTTTATTATCTTTCACAGTATGATCGACCACTACTTGAACTCAGATACTATTTCTCTCTTCTTCTTGGAAATCATTGAGACAAACAACCGGTTGTTCGCGCCATAAACATTTAAACTCGTGTTTTCAAACTGATAGAAGCGTTCGCTGTGATTATTTTGGCTTCAGGTAATCTCGAATAAGTATTTAATAAAATTCTTCCTTTGCACCTGCCGCAGAAATCCACTTTCAATCAACAAGTCGGTGACAGTCAACCATTTTACTCCCCGCTGGACATTAATGCTAAATGCAATATTTCTTGAAAAACGGGTCATATAATTAACAAGGAGACTCTGTATGTTATAACAACTTTGGTCACGTGTTGCTAAATGTACCTTTCGTATACTTAAAGAACAATTTATTTTACCGTTCTGAAGGATTTGGGTTTTACAAACTCGTGCGAAGTACTGTTTTTTTTTGTTCATTTGTGATAAAGTGGTAGTGTCGAAGCCGCAGCGATGTCTTCGTGTGAAAACAACGGAAACGCTCTACCTCAGTTTTTCTTCGGACTTCGACTTGGATCGCCGGTAAGCCCGAAGATCTAGGAACTAGAAAATAAACTGCTACGTTTGGCAGTCATTTGTAACCCGGTTTTATGTTCGCCTCGCTTCTCTTCTTTGTCACATGTTGCTGTTGGATTTAATATTCAATGGGTAAGTTGTTTGGGTTTACTTGAAGATAATACTTCAGATATACCTTTATTTCACCTTATTCCCATCGTGGTATGCTTAAGGGTGGTTTACATGTACAAATCTACTCTCATATCCAACTTCACAACGCAAATACTCAACGCCAGAAGCTACTGATTAACGATTTAATGAACAAATTAAAACAGCAACTGCTTTACATCAACATAATTTCAAAAATGAGGAATATGTTATTCCCTGAGATTGCTGTTTGTTACTTTTTTGATGATTTTAAGATTTTACTTTTTCTCTGATGAAGCGGTTTGTTTTCTCTCGGCAGAAGTTTGTGTACTCCCGTCGCAGTACGAAATCCCGCAAACCTCATGCACAAGTTATGCAAATCATGATGGGCAGAATTATGCAATAGAATAAACCCTCAACTAAGCATTAGACACTAGAAACACCGCGATCAAAATTAGTTTACTTAAGGGAAACTTAAATTCTTTTGCAGTTCGTTATATTACGAATACTGAGCTGGAAGAGATATTCGCGAAATATTCGGCTTCCCCAAATACGAAATTGTCAGTAACGATAGCACATTTATTTCAGTACAGAAATGTCACGTTCTACATTTTAATCATAATAAAAACAATTGGACTGCACGATTCATTGCGGTTGATTGTCTAATGTTTCATTTGAGTGTAGGTATATAGAATTTAAACTCAAAATCGTAAGTACTTCTGTTCAAGGTACCTACTGAGCTGCCTCAACCGCACTTCGCGCGAAAATTGTTCCTGTTGATTTCTTATTATTTATTTAGAAACCTTCTTTTCCGTATCAATTTCAATATTTAACCTGAAATTGAGAGAATCTTAAGATTTTACTTTGCATTCCCTCTTTGTTTGGTCGTGAACGATTTTTTTCCAATTGAAAAGCATTCAGCTATGAAATTACCAAATGATAATGATCGCTAGTCGCTTAAAATGCAAGGTTCGTGGGATCAACCACATTTTTGATGGCTGATTATAATAACAAGAGAAATTGGAAATGACACTTTAGAAACCTTTTTACACAACCTTGGGTTACTTATAAAGCTGGGTGGAATCACCTCGAAAAGTAATGCCTTGTCATTCCAATGTTCAGAAGTGTTTTCGTGAAAAAAGCCGCAAAGCCGAGTTAGCCCTCTTTGCTGGGTAACCCTTGTCGAGACGCGGAATGAAGTGCCAGAAGGGGTTGAGATTTGTAAAACGCTCTCATGTAAAAACTGGCCCTTAGCTAACCAGGCCTTTTGTGCTCAGATAAACGGGTTTCTTTTTTCTTTTTTTTTTACTTTACGATTTACTTCCATTCCGACCTACTCAACATTGCATTTTTCCTTTATTGCTCATGTTGTCTAGTTTTTAAGTCGATGGAAAGACAGGCCTGTGTCAGTCTCGAAGCAAACCACATCCTCTACAACTGTCTAGACACTCAGGTTCGTGTGAAATCATTTCAAAGAATGCTAAAAATATACATGATGTATATTTTTCAGTAGTATTCTTTGCGGTAACTCGGCCTGGGTTACAAATCAACCCGGCCTCGTGCAAAAAGGCTCATAGATCAACACTAAGCTTAGCTTTGTTATTGCACCTAAATCAAGCCACAGGAAGGTAATTTTTGATCAAATTGGCTTGACTCGTATACGTTTCTGTCCCTCAGTAATGATTGCGTGATCGTGTTATGAAAATATCAAGCTCTGTTCTCCAGGAGGCCTTATTACTTGGTGTTTTGAAAGGTAATTAAATCCGACCACTGATAGAGGTGTATTTAATGTTTAGGCTAAGTTTTTTCATTCAGTTCGTTTCCTTTACAAGTTTTTGTGACGACAGAATTGATTGCCATGAAGATGGAAACATCAAAATGAGTTAGACTACTTGGTTGATTTTAAAACTGACTGGAAGAATGTAAGTTAGCCTTAAACTGTTATCTCGTAACTTTGATTAGGAGACAAAAAGTTTCAGTTTAAAAAAAGGAAAATTTCGCAAAATGGCTAAATTCTGCAATAAGCTTTGATTGAAGAGAAGGCTCCACTGAGTGAAGAAAAAAGGTTAAAAATGCTTCATTCTTTTTCCATCTAATGTGTTTCTCAGATAGAAGAGAGCAGGGCGTTTTTAGTTTACGAGTTTTATTCATTATGAGAGTAACAATGACTTCTTTTATACATTGTTTTAGCATGAGATGATGATTATTTCATTCGGGTTGTGTCGGAAGGGATCGATTCATTTTCACATACTCGTCTTGAAAACCAAAATAGGTTACTCGCAGTTTTTTTATCTGTAAGCAAAAGCAAGCAGGTTATCGTAAGACATTTTGAGTTTTCCATGGATAGTAGTCATACGTAGATGTTAACGTCTTTGATCCCCCTCTCATAAATTATTTGGTCTTTAAAATACTTTGCTGTATTTAGCTATAACGATATATTGTGACCATCTTAGATTTTCGAATGAAAAATAGCCTTGTTGTTGTCATGGTTACACCATGATATCTTTTAGTTGATCAACGTTATTATTTGGTCTTAGACTGTCTGTTATTGAATCGATGTTTGTTTTAAAAGCTTTTCGAAAATTTTGCAAACTAAAGTGTATTGCCCGAAGCCATTCTGGCGGCAAAAAACAAACGCTCTATATAAATATACTCGTCACATATTGCCAATGTTAATATTTTCAATGTTCCCAGTAGCTTTTCTTCATAAGAATACAATGTTTAAGGGAAAATTGACCCTAAAGATGTGAAAGCACAGATACTTAGTCGACGAAATGCTATTGGTCTCGCACAGGGGATTCAAAGAAAAATTTAGGGGATAGTTCTGTGGTACTTGAACTGCGGACTTCCTTCTCAGCTGGAGATAAAATATCATCAAAAATTCTAATTTTGGATATATAAATCGTAGCGCATATCCTTCTGAAAGTGGTTTATAATTAGACTGAAGGAGCTTCGTACGAAGCTCACATTGCTATTTTCCCACGGAGACCTACTGTTCATCTAGTACTTAGAGATCACCTTATTTGCTATCACTACAGAGAGAAATTTTTTTTAAAATTGAGTAAATGTAAACGTAAGTTGCATTAATTAAACTCCGTCGGTTTTCTTTGGTGATGCCTGGTGAAAATATCGCACAAGTATTAATAAAAGACTAAAAAAAGAATGGAAAAACTGCTCATTTTGTTACTGAATTGGTAAGAAAATTAACCCTCAAAGAGTTCAAACCTTTAAAACTTTTGGTACAATAACAATGTTTTAAATAGCGGCCACAAGAGATTTCGTTCGGCGCTATTCGATAAATCGCAACAGAGTTAAATACGAATAAAGTGCATGTAAAGAAAAACTTCGAACCAAGCCTCTTTCGTGTAGGTGCTTTTTTCCATATTATTTTTTTTGCCGTTAAGCTAGTATCTTTTATCAACGTTTTCTCCGACGACTGTTCTCGTTTTAGTTGTGAAAAGCTCGGCAGAATGAAGATGATATTTTTTTTTATTTCTCCCTTCTGTGAAAAGATATATATGTAATAAAATACACACACACACACACACATACACATATATATATGTATGTATAAATGTCACCCCTTTTTCAAAAACGTTGCGATATGAAAATATGTATGAAATATATGCATATTTTCTTTTCTCGCCAGAAAGTGCCTATTTTTGATGAGGAAAAGAAAAGGTATATATATTTAATACATGTTTTCATATTGCAACGTTTTTGAAAAAGCGTGCCATGTACATTGATATTCATATGTTTTTAGGAATTACGTGGGGATGCACATCAGGACATCCTCCATGCTGATTTATATGTATCATGAACATCATCAAACAATTTTCGTTTTAGATGTCTCAGAAGAAAGAAAAAAAAAACAGTTTCTAATCAGATTCACAGTGGTTTACATGTTGTCACTCACTCTCCGTAATCGACTCCAACTCGGAATATTTTGGCGTGAAATTTTATTATTATTATTCTAAAAAATTTGTTTTGTTTAACTAACGCAGCCTTGGATTTACATGCAAAGTGATTTGTCCTCTAACGACAAATGTTCAGTTTTGAAGATGATGTGCATCAAGAATAATGGAGAGCAGTTTGTCGGTGTCATTAGCATTTCTCTCAAATTTCACGCAAACCTCTGTTCATCGTTCTTAATGGAAACCAATGAAACAGAAAATATGCAATAAATTTAAAATTAAAGCAAGCAGTTGAAAACAAACCTACTTTTTAGAGTTCTGCATTAAACCTCATCCTGATAAATTTGTAGAAAACGATGTAAGTTACCAGCCGGGTTCAAGAATTGATTCCTGTATGTCAGTTGTTCCATCAAATCAATTTTTCTGTGGAGAAGTACAGAGCTTGCGCGTAAGTAACGATTAATGAAAAACGATGGAAAGAAAGATGAAAAAAATTAGAATCGTTGTACCCTCACGGTCCTATTAAGTATACGCACCTAGTTTTTTCGTCGAATTGCTTCTTTTCTATTTATTAGTGAAGGTACCCAAAATATGTGATAAGTAAACAAAGAAAAAATGTTAAAGTTTTACGGTTACAGGAACACACCTTTGGACTTTGCAGTCTTGGTCATTTAGTTTGAAACGTAGTTTAAAACGAGCCTGCTGCAAATTGATATTGCTAAAGCAGTATATGAAGTTGTCGGGGACAAACTCCCTTTGCATGATACGTGGTGGAATATATAGAGCCGAAACTTGTAGATAAAATGAAATAGCAGATTTAGTTTAACAGCCACAGAGAATTGTTTGAGAAGAACGTTTAAACATTTTCAATTCCTTTTCTCGTATAAATGCACTTGACAAGGCAAAACTCCTTACTTTACCGTTTAGCAAGGAAACTTTTTCAACGAGACGAATTAAGATAATCTTGCCGATGTCGATGTGGAATTTCACAAAAAAATTGGACATGTGTTCTTGCCAAATCATCCCCTCATTAGTGAACTTGAAGTGCAGCTTAAGAATACGAAAAAAAAGTAGATCTCGTATTTTACAGTGCACGAAAAGGAGCCCTTGGTCTTAGGAAAAATGCATCTATATTCATATTGTGGATGGGTGATGCACCCCTGAGAGCCAAAAATGTTTTCAGGAGTTGTTTTGCTCTTACGCGTTCAGTAATGCTGTATTACATTTGTTTGTTTTGGTTTTGAATGCAAAAGAACAATTAGAGAATACTGTGATCACTGTTGAAAGTTGGCGATATAATTAGGGAAGATAATGAGAAAACCGTCGACATGATATCATCCTATCTCCTTAGAGTGCATCTGGCAATTTGAATTTTTAATCTCTCCCTTTATTACAAGTAAATATTTGAAGACGAAAAATGCCTACAGTATTGTTATCTCAAAATGAATCTGCAAGAACCCGTAAGATACATCTTGAAATTTTATAACTGAGTTTAATTTTTGGTCTTATAATTGGAGTTAAATTCATGTTCACTGCAATGTGTATTGAGATACCTCAATTAGCCGCCACCAGCTTCATTTCACACAATTACAGAGGTCCTGTGATAAAAAGCTCTTTAAATAAAAGTTATTAAAAATACACCATTAATGCCATGTTTGCTTTGAGCTTAATTATGAAGGAAAGCCCTCACCATTGGACTTGCTAAAAAAAAGTCATCATCACCTCAAGAGTGCTTGGATTTATTTGCGAATTCATGAAAATTAGGTTCTGTCATGGTAGCGGACTTGATCTGACATTGTTTCGTTCTCTTGAGTTTCAGTTCTTATTTCTTTTTTCTTTTCTTTCCATTTCAAAGTATTGCGTTTTGTTTACTATAAAACATTGTAAACTACAGTAAAATTAATTAGTGCAATACCTTTTCTTGACTGACTTTATGAAGCCGTGTGATCTTAAACGTCATTTGCATAATTCGATGATAAGACTGTTAGTTAATCACCCACGTTAGTGATTCAAAATAATTAGAGCTGTCGAAACCGTATCTATCTTTGAGAGATGCGATGCTATCGTACCCGATGGTTCGAAAAGCAGTTCCCATCGTTCAGTAACAGAGAGTTCTGTCAGTGGTCAATTATTACACAAATGAAACACGGGTAGAAAAAAGCATTACAATTTCTCTTCAAGAACACTGTTTTGGTACCGATTTCTGGAATGCGGCCAAAAAACCCGCCTCGAATTCCGGTCGATTGGTAAACGGTTAGTGAAAGTTTTAGATTATTTCTCTTCTAGTACGCTTCTTCAGAAATATTAAGGCTGTAGAAGTTCATCTACTATGAAAATCGCCCAAGAGTTCTTTACTCTCCGAGATATAGGAAAAGTTTTTAGGCAATGCAAATTGACTTCGCTCTAATGAAAATACACGAGCTTAATGTTTTATGCCCGCAACACCGTATGGTCTCAGGTAACGCACTTTACAATGTACAATATTTCGAGGTTTTTTTATAGGCATAGGTAGCAAAATGATCTATGATGAAAAATTGCTTTGAGTGCGAGGATTTTATTAATTTGTTATTTGGAAGACAGTAAAAGTGTCACTCTCTTCTAACTGGGTTTTAAATTTTGAATGTTTATAAGTAAACGGATATAAAAATCACTTTGGTTTCCTGTTTATGGAATGCTGAGGGTTAATTTTGATCTTTAATTATTGATATACACAATAACAAGAAAGCCAGACTGAGTGACACTAATAACTTTGGCTTTGATTTGTTCCCGATTATTATTTTCTTGAAGGAATAATCGATAAAATTGTGAAAATATTCGCAAAGGAGACTGAATTTTGAAAGGATCTTTAGAATGAGAAAAACTAAACAAGCTATCATTTAGCGTGACTCGACTCCTGAGTTTTTCAACTATGGATTGTTTTTCTTCCTTTCCGTCGTCTACCCTATTTTGAAAGAGTTAAGATTATGCTATGAGTCTGTGTCTTTTTTCCGTCGCTCATGATAATTATTACTTGGCTGCAAAGCTGAAGTTTTCAAGGTTTCCTATAATCAGACTGAAACTAATGCTCAAAAAGGAAACGAACCTGGCTTGTATCAATCGAAAGCAAGCGTTATGCCTCTTTTCTTGGTTTTTCGGTATCAATCATCATTTGAAACCACTGTTTGTAGACACCTTTACTGATATCGACTGCTTTAAATATCAAGAGTTTCAAATTTCATTTCAAGAGCGAACCTAAGATCAAAAGGATATGAACTTGCAATTGTTTCACAAGTAAACTGCTTAAAATGGACTTAAAAGCAAGGTCGTTTTGTCGCTTTTACATGGTATCACATTTTAATTTAAATTATTTATCAAACTGGCCGCTGATATTGACAATTTATCGAAAGGAAAAGTAATATCCTCGGGTCATGAAGAACTATGTGCCAAACAAAAAGAAAATGAAAGAAATAAATGTCAGCGCGACCTATTTTATCGAAGGAAAACTGATAGATCTGTTTTAAGACTGGGAGCACAAACAATTGTCTCAACATACGAATTTCTGTAATTGTTTTGAATCAAAAAACACATTGTCTCCTAAAAAAACGCACAAAATAAATGAATTTTTGTAGGATGACCAAGTCTTAGATGCCTCAAAGTTGTTAGGTGTTTCATGCTGTGTAGTTTAATATTTATTATTTTTGATTTTAAGTCTCCATTTCAGGATCAGTCTGTTAGAAGAATGGGTAGCAACTGTACCTGTTTCATAACAATATAGATCTCAACAACGTCGGCACAATGCTCTGAAATTACTTCTGTGAATTAAAATTACATTAATGGAAAAAATTAATCTTTCGAACGTGCCTTCTTTTAAAGTTCCCCTGCTCCACTGGTGTTTTTATAACTAAAAAAAGCTGGTGGGATATCTTTGATCTATTCACAAAATTTCCTCATATTCTAATACAAGCTCATTGTGATAATGGTCCCCACTACTGTTTTCAAATGTAAAGGCCTGTTGAAAGTTGGCCGAACCAACATTTAGTAATACGACTTTGGCTCATATATCAGCAGGGAACCTCACGGGGTAGTCTGTTATTTACGTGATATTTTGGAATGGCACCATATCCTCTGCTTTAGAATTCTCTGGTAGTAAAAGTTTATCTACCACACACTAGTCTTTGGTGGGAAATTTTGTTAGAACATCAAATTTAAATGCACTTTTACACTATTCTCCTCCAGACTATTTATAATTAATACCATGGTGGGCGACTGTGCACTAACTTACTCTCAATGCATTTAGTACACCTGTTCAAAACGTCTTCTAAAATAAACGTTCTTAGTTTTCTAGTGGGCGCTTTGCTATTCGTGACCCAAACATAAGTAATGTTTTCAAAGTCAGGAAAACACTCTTCTACTAGTAGGTGTCTTGATGTTCGCGTGGTAGAAATTGCCTATCACCTGCAGTGAACACTGGATCTAATCAAACTTCTACGCGGGACACTTCAAAAGTAAATAACGCTCAAATAGAGGGGAATGGCCAGTAGATGCATTTTTATTTTTCGGCGAAGGTTATCCTGAGATTCGACTGTGTCGTGGTAAGAAATCGTTGTTTTTAATCACCTCTGCTGTAATAGATCTAAGCGCTGAGTTTGATTGATGTCCCGAGAATAGCCTGGTGTAGATTACAAATGTTTGTGGTAAAACAATGTGGAGGGGCATTTAATTTTTGAAAAGTTGTGATCCTTCGCCTATTATCATTTTTCCTTTTTTCACCTTCCTGAGTACGGTTTTTGATGTTTCTGGCTTTCTTCAAAAAAGTAGTTTATGTTTTAAATATAAACATTTTTGCCTTTATAGAAGAGGCTTCTACTAAGTTGGATGTGCTCATTAATATTGTTTCGAAATCTTTTTCACACGCTCGTATTTGACTTAAATGTGGGAGGAATCCGTGTCTCCGAAACAGAAATAGTCGATCTGATTACTTTTTTCCAAAAACAGCAGATGACAGGAACGGTATTTTTACAAAAAGTGATTATTTAGATGCCCACAAATATTTATCGCATATATTTCTATATATTTAGTCATTTTTACATTTCAATCCTGTTGAATAGTTTTATTAGTTGCTTTGTCGTGCTGCACCACCTTAGTTTGTTTTTGTGAAGCTTTGTCACCCCCATTTTACGTTTAAAAATCGCTTAGCGAATATAATCATTTAAATGCATAGGAACGCAAAAACTTTGCTATTCAGTTGTAATAATTGTCTTACACAAGAAAGATAAAGCATCGCTATAATGACTTCAACATTTTAATCTTTCGTTTACTGCCTCGTTAAAATTTGTCAATATTTCTTTGTTAAATTTTACGATTCGCGGAAATTCTTAATGATGTAGAGCGGTTCCGTATATAGGCATTCTATGCTACGACAGACAACTTCTTCTTTTGCCTTTGTTTTTATTTTTTGCTTGTTTGGTTTACATTGTAATGAATTGTTTTCTCTTTTAAGAAAATACTTTAAATGATGTCATTGATGTATAAATTTAACATGAGGCATCTCATGAACTTTGCGTAACAAAGGTCTTTGTGTTCTAAATGCGATCAGGTGCAGAATTACAAATCGCCAAATCGCAGTTCAGTGCATTTGAAATACAGCTCACTTATACCATTAACCTTTTTTCGCGTAACGTGACGTCAACCATGTTGGAGTTTTAAACCCGTCACGTGGGACATGAGCTCTTCTCACTGCAAATTCTTTCTTCTACTTCAGTCACCAAACATGGCTGCTAGTCACGTTGGTGAAAACCGTCTGTCCATCAAACTTCGGCGACATTTTCTTTGTTTTTGATTGTGCTTGACGTCTTTCTCTTTTAGTGCAAAGAAGTGAAATCGCTTGCGACAAGCCTGCAAGAATGTTAAACAGAAATGAGGGATTTCACTCTGTGTTGATGGTATGGGCCGCTCTTGTAGTCTCCAGTGAACAGTACTCTGTTAACACATCAAGGTAAATCATATTTTGTGGCTTTATTTGTAATTATACGTTGCTTATCGTTTGAGTAATTCCCGATTTCGGAATGTCAAAACAAACCCTTGACTCTTTAGATACATGTTGCCGTAGATTGCTCCTCTAAGTGAACAGGGTTGTTTTATCATGTTACCAATTTTTTGCGTTATGTTTGAATTCCGTTCAAGGCATTGATATTTTCTTTGAGTGTTTTCTCTGTAACAGAAATCTGTAAAACCTTTATAGAGCATATACATCGTCACTTGGAAGAAACGAAAATAAGAAACGAACTTATTGACCGAGTAAATTTTCTAAGCCATTTTGCTTATGTGTTGATGGACTTCAACCTGACCGGTGTACCATTGTCGTAATTAGCACGGCATAATTTTTAGGCTTAAGAATTGTTTAACATAATTACATGTATAAAAAACGCATTTGGAAAGCCAACAATATCCCAAAAGTACGGTTAAATTTGGCGGTCTCAGGTTCTTTATTGCCTGCCTTAAACAAATGTAAGTTCCGTTGTATAAAGTTTAAACTATCAGTTTTTTTCAGTATCGCTCAAAATTCCTGTTGGTAATAGGTTAAATTTGTTTCTTACTTAGCGATCAAAAAATGGCCGCCAATTAGCAGCTTGTGGAACGTCAATACACATCATACGATTGAATTGTGTTCAGTCTCGATAACTGTCTCAAGAAGAATAATGAATAGGATCGCTTACATCTGAAGGCTCCAATTAAGGTCAATTGTTCGCGAATGAAATTGATCTGAGATTCAAGGGCTGATTTCCTACCCAGCTTTTTTATATTTTAGTTTCAGATCTGAAACTCTATTCACTCAATCGCGATTTTTTTTTCTATATGTTTTTTGCTTCATGTCCTCGATTTTCTAGAATCTTTTTCACCTGTCTCTTACACTAAAGTTTTTAGATCGATTGGGTATTCTTTTAATCATGAGAAGGAACAAAAGCTACCTGATTGTCCAAAAGGTAGTTGCGATCCACTTGCACCTTTAATTGATGGTTTGTTATCAGTATGATGCTTCTTTTCACTTAAGTCTTGTACCAGGTGGTTCGAGACTTCTAAATTTACATCGCTCCGACCGAAAATTCTATCATGAAACTGAGATACTACCATTGTCAAGTTTCTATCTCAAAAAGGAGTTGCTTAGAGTAAATGATTGGTTTTTGCTAACTATTGTTTTGCACCATGAACATTTGCAGCGAAACGTAGCCAATTGATGAAAATTTAAAAAAAGTTTTTAAATATGGCGATTTACACTCCATTGTGAGAAAAATTACACATGTTAATGGTAAACCATGAAACGCGAGGGAATTGGAAGAACTCACCTCGAAGTGCAGGGGTGTCAAGACTGGGAAGGGACGGGAATAGGAAGCACAGCTCTGTGAAAATCTCCCCGAGCAAGGACGTTGACCATTAACTAACTCAACCGACATGGGATCAGTGGGAAGAGCCACCACCATCTTTTGCGTTACTCTAGTAAGGAAAATAGCCTAGGTAGGAAAAGCTTGTAAATTTTAAACTCGGTATTGGAATGAGCGAGATTATATTCTTCTCGTCACGGATGTGGGACAAAAAAAATCGGTGCTCCATCGCAGAGCTCCATAGGACTACATGTGCTTCCTGTGATTATTCCTGTACTTGATACGAATCGTGTTAGAACCTAGTTGTCGGACCTATTCCTAAAACTAACTAAATGAATTATGGTTTTCTTTTTTTGTTTGTATTTGTTTTGTCTTTTTCAGCGATAACAAGCCGTTTAAGGCTTATGCAAACTCAACCAAGATAGTAGAAACTCTTTTGAAAGAATACGACAAAAGGATCAGACCTGGAGTTAAAGGTAAGTAAAAGATCAAATTTTCCGCAAGTTCAATGCTGAATTGAGTTTATCTATCATGTCAAAATAAGGCCAAAGATGACGGATAACACCAGTGTTACTAACTAACTGGTGCGTTGAAAAAAGGGAAAATTATCTGAAATTCTTTGTCCGATCCTTTTTAATGGATTATTTAGGTGACTTTGCGATCACAAGAGTGATTTCCTTATTAACTGCTTGTCAATCATCATTGAAAAAAGGTTCCCCAGTCGAAGTACGAGTCGACATGTACGTGGCCAATATCTGGGCAATGCAAGAAGTTAAGATGGTAAGTACCATAAACAGTTTAAAAAAAACTAGAGTATTTACAAGCAGTGACCTTTTTTATTGTTTATACCATCATTATCATAACATCAAAAATGCTGATTTTTTAATGTATGATACTGAGTCCCTCGTAATTCGCTTCGAATTTTTTTAAATTCTTAAGCTATCTCGTCTGCTAGATCTAATGTTTCAGATACCAAGCCATCCGCTTGCATGCATGAATGAAAAATCATGACAATTAGATGCCACTAGGGTATCTCCGCGTTCAACGTTCGTTGAAATAGCAGAACTAAAGTGTTTGACTTTATATGCTAAATAGTGATTCGACAGATAAAATCAATGATCTCCAATTCTGTTTCCGTTTTTGTGGTAATTCCAGGAGTTTACAATCGACATATATTTGCGCCAATACTGGAGAGACGAGCGATTAGCGTTCGGCCATCTGACCTCTGACCCTCTGCTGACCCTGAGCAGCAATATTAACAAGCAGATATGGGTACCGAGTACTTACTTCTTGAAGACTAAGAAAGCTTACTTTCATGATGTTACAACAGAGAATTACCTGCTGCAGATTCGGCCAAATGGAAGCATCTTCTATAGCATTCGGTGAGTCGAGAGTTGTTTTAAACCATAATCCTGTTTCCAAATATCGGGCTATTAAAAATTCTATAACAGCTACTTGTTTAAGATTGCATCAATAAAAGAAAATTCGGTGTTGTCAATGTAAAGCCTCAAAGAAATGCAGTCTTTAGTTGATATGTTTGTTGGTGTTTTCAGACTCACAATAACTACTTCGTGTACGTTGGATCTGCGTCGATTCCCACATGACACACAGTTGTGTACATTGGCATTAGAGAGTTGTAAGTATTATATTATAAAAACGCAAATAAAAATAAACAATTATTAAATATCGTTAATTTGCAGAGATGAGCTTCTCTCACCACGCCCGCACTTATTACTCCTTAAAAAATTTTGGGGTTTAATATCCTTTGAGTTATATACATTAAGGTACTTAAAAGGAAAAATTTAATGCTACTAGTTTTGTATGTTTGGACGCGTGTAAAAGTAACTGTGTTACACGAAATGAAAGCTTGATGCTGGTTGGGAAATACATTAAGACTGCTTCAGATTTCATGATCCAGTTTTCCTGACTGGAACTCTTGTTCTATTGTTCATCATGTTAATTTCTTTCCCATATCAGATGGATACCAAACGACTGACGTTTGGTACGCTTGGAACCCCAGAGATGACAACACATCAGCCATCTTTGTCAACAATGAAGTAGAGCTTCCACAGTTTGAGTTGGTCAATGTGGAAAAGGAAGCAGTCATAAATAAATATAATATAGGTATTTATTAACGCATCGAGATTATGGTTTCTGCATCCCTCCTGGTTTCTTTCTTCCCAAGTTTTGTTCATTCTAAGGATATTTTTGCCCAGGATTGCTACAATGTTTACGCTCATCCATGGGCGGCGTAATAATTCTAAACAGGCTAATTTAATTTGCTGTCACACGAGCTTTCATTGAGGAGGGAGGGCTGACACGCAGAGGAAATGGACGTACTCTTTCCTCGTTTTATTCCACCGTCTCCTTGCGTTTGGGAACAAGTGTAGAGAAGTCTTCAAACGAATTAAGTGGTTGGTCACGATAGCCTATCTTCCTTTCCATAACATCAAAAGACCAGATGTTTCTGGATGGGATGGGATGAGATGCCGATGTAGTTTTAGGTTACCTTCCAGAACTTTGTTTTGTTTTCCTAAAACATTCACCGAGCTTGGAGTAAGGGTCGTTATGCTGCGTTGTTAACTATCCTCTTGTGCTTCCTCCCTCTAGCCAGAGAGGCCCCAATCAAGGTAACTTTTAGCCGGACCGCATAAATAAGTGTACCTATTATATATACCTATCTAAAATAAACTATATGTACCTAAGGACCCTTAAGAACAATTTTCCTGTTACTTTCTCCCCAGGCAACCATTCCTCGTTAGTTGCCATGTTCAAGATGAAACGTCGAATCGGCTACTTTTTGATTGACACCTATGTACCTTCCACCATTATTGTTATCATCAGCTGGATATCGTTCTGGATTAACCCCGATACTGCTCCTGCGCGGGTTGCCCTAGGAATCACCACTGTTCTGACGATGACGACGCTTATTTCCAGTGCTCGCGCATCACTACCCAAAGTGAGCTACGTGAAAGCTATCGACTGGTACCTCCTGTTGTGTCTCATATTTGTGTTTGGGTCCATTTTGGAGTATACCTTTATAGCATTTATGATAAATGTTAAGAATAAAAGCAAAAGGAAGCCTTCAGTGGATAGCGAATGGGGAGATGGTTCAAAGGTGAGCACATGTATATTTTCTTAGTTTTTTTAGGGCATGCATATTGCTATTTCAAATGTAAACCCGTTAAGTTAAGGTGAAGAAAAACAGGCTACCAGAGTTTCTCAAGGTGTATCAGAATTTCTCAAGGTGTCTCGTGATACGTATATCTGCTTTCGTTTCTGCATCAGTTCTATATATTTGTATATATGGTATTAAGGCGGGTCAAAGTTATCTACTGAGGCCCCTGGGATGTAAAGTTGAGACCATGGACTGTTTTAACAGTATCTGCTTTTCACTTCTTAAATTATGGATATAAAAATTCCTCTGACCAGAATTTCTACAAAGAGTATCAAAGTTTTTTTTTTCAAAAATTTGTGAAGCAGAGACGTTTGATCAGTGAAAAATATCCTTTTTCTTGATATTTTTCTCTCTAGAAACAGGAAGAGAGGACAGAGCTTTTGTCTCTTTTTGCTCCAAAATGTTCTCCCCGACGAGGAAACGCCCTTAAGCGAGTATTAAGTCAAGCTGAAACAGATTCTCTTGGTGTTGAAAGTAAAACGTTCCCAGAGAAAACGGAGAGGGAAAAATGGTACTTTATTAGTAATCCTCACACTATAGACAGGTGCTCGCGGATTGGGTTTCCGCTCACATTCTTTGCATTCAATTGCATTTACTGGCTTGTACACGGAAAAGGATGAAACTAACGAGAAAGGGGAAGTATCAGTTTTGAAGGAGAACCATTGTTGGGCGGCAATAGATGAAAGAAGTCGGTAGATATTTCGCCGCATAGAAATACGAATTAATACGTTGATACGTTGTTTAAATCCTTGGCTGCAATGCTGGGCATTCAGTACATTATGATTATGGCTTATTTGTATTCTCTTGTAGAATTTGACGTCTCTATTCGAGAATAAAATATCAAATGATAGAACGATTTATTGAAGGTAAACTGTTACAGGCTAGGCCTAGCTATTACCATTTAAGAAAAAAAAAGTAAAATAATTATAGGCCTTGAATATTTACGGTGTAGTCAGGGTAAACACGTAAACATTATGAAAAACCTTTTTCCTCTCTACTTATGTGATGACAAAGTATTTACTGTGCTGATCAAGGAGGCTTTAGCTTTTATGTCTTGAACCAGTAATAGGCAGCTCAACTAAACAAAAAAGGATAATAGGACAAGGAAGACCTCCTCATATCAGATTTGATGTTCTGTAGATTTTTCAGCGCTGAAACTAGTCCTTGTAAGTCTTCGGAGGAGAAAAATATACCGCAGCATCACTTATTATCAACATAAGTATGACAAATAAGATTTGATGTGAAAGGTTTTTGTTTCAACGCTTTACCAACAGTGTTAAAAGAAAATTTTGTGTAGGCCTAATAAATAATGTCACAGCAGTTAGATCTGTATCAGTCTTACTAGGAAAGAACATACTGAGGGATTATCTTGTGGGTATCTTAAATTTTTATCAAAAAATTCTTATTAAGTAGAATTCATCGAATGATTGCCTGATTTTAATCAAAGATGTGACTGTAAAATTATTCTGATGAATAAAATCATTGAACGATCTCTTTTAATGTAGCTATGGGCTGTTTTTTTTATGTCTCTCGTTGATTCCAGTGAGGTGTCCAATTAAATGGCAGTACTATGAAATACGAATGGAAGTGAAGGATGCTTCGTCCTAGTAGATTTCTTGTTAAATGGCTCGTTTTCGGTTGTGTCTTTCCGTATCCGTCAACATGGTCAAACCGCCAACAATGTTTACAAGTAAACTCTACTCCAAGTCTCGAAATTTTATCTGTATCGATGAAAAAATTAAATAGGCCCTCGGCATGTTTTACGTTGGAAAACCCAATTTTGCCCTCTCAGCCTCGCTTTCAACGTGCAGAATGGTTAATCATTAAGAAATATTTCCCAAACACTGATATCAAAAGAATATCCGCATAAAAACGATAAAAGAGCAGTTTGACGTCACTTTGCCAGGAGTGTAAGGAGCTATTCCTTACGTGATGATTTATTTGTGTCTTTTCAACAAACGAACGTTTTCCAGTGCCATAAATATTCATAATTAGCTGGTTGTCGTCGTAAGTGTCTGTCTTTTTTGTCGTACTCGTCGCGAGAAACTCCCTTTTCACAGGACAAAATCGTAGAGGAACAAATCCGACAAAATATCATGATCTGCTTGATTATTATCTTAGGCTTAAGGTAACTGAATCATTAGATTCACCGCGAACAAATTTCCTTTTTTTATTACATACATTTTGAAATCATTAATGAGTCTTGTAATCGGATTGGCTCTCATTGGTGCGATTAATTAACGAATCGCACCATTTTTCACTCTATACCGCACTTTTTTCAGCTAATTGGGAAGCTTTTTCTAACATGTTCCTTGATAAAACCCTACCATTGAACCTCTTGCCATAGCATCAGTATTTATTGTACAAGTCACTTTGCGATATCACAATTTTATGTTGAATAAAATTGAGATCATTTAGATAAATCTCTTTTAAAAGATTTTCCTTGTTTTTAAGTTTATGCAGCTCTTAGATAACTGTAGTCAACGCATTCGGGCCTTGACTTAAACTTGTGTAATGGCTCTTAAAACATAGATTCGATGAAAAAATAATCATCATCTATTTACCTTTTCTTAAACTATGTATATTTTTAGTGTTCTTGTTTCTTTTTCGTATTTTGCTACAAAAGAAAACAAACGGCCTCCCTGAGGGGGCACTGGTAGTTTTAATTCATGGGAGATATTCATCATCAGAAATCAGGAAAATTTATCAACACGGTCTTGGTGTGAGAATTTCATGGTTTCACTTCTAGTTCATTTCATTAATATCTGAATATTTCGTGCAGCAGAATTAATAAAAAGAGCCAAACGAAGGTGACGGCCCCCCACTGAAAGGAACAGAACTAAAACTTTCTGGTCAAACGATTGAGTATGAGGTAGCATTGACTTTCCCGGTTTTTTCTTAACTCTGAGATACCAAAAATTAAATGTGATTATACATTAAGGTGTTCCTTTGTTTGGTCTTAAGATGTTTATCGCTTAGCAAGGATTTTTTCTCACATATTTGCGGCCTATTCTGAAGACATGATGATCTTTGTGACAGTGGGAAGAGGATGTAGATGGATGTTTCTTGATTATCCTTATGCTCTTAAGATTTATGCTTGAGAATAGAGTACGATGAGTTTGGCTCCGTTCTCTTCACATTTTCTCTTCTTTTTTCGCCTTTTTGCTCTTTTACCTCGCGCGTTTAGTTCAGTGCAAGCGTCATTGCGGTATATGAAAACTGCAACGAGAATTTCAACTCTCACTGTTACAGCGTATAATTAGAAGATGACTTTATCCGGCGCGTAAACAATCCAGTATATGGAGTTCAACACGGCGAAGGTGACAGGGAAGGATATCCTAGCGTATTTATCCACAGTATATGCCGGTTCTGACATCATAAATGCTGTTTCATACGGGTCCCAGAAGTAGTGATGACGTTTTTTGGGAGGCTGGGAATTGCTATCATTAGATTCGTCTATTTCCTGTGTCAGTGTAAAGAAAATGAAAGCCTTTAAGTGGTCTCTTTATGCTCGTGGAAGAAGGCATAGTAAGACTTTAGCTCTTTCTGAGAGTACAAAACAATAATCCATATAACCCGAGATCGACGCCCAAACTCTTGAGTGTCGTGCACTAAGGCGTGCTCTCAGGGCTCTTCATCTCCTACGGGGTGGAAAGGTTTTCAAACATTTTTTCTCTTGGAAGATTTCTTTAATAGCCTTTCCCAAACTTCCCACCGAGAATTTTCGACAGCGACTCCTATTACTAACAATTGCCATGAAAAATGTCCACTATCAAATACATTTTTGAGAAACAAATGTATCGCTTACCTTTTGCCGAAATCGGCGAGCTAATCTGAATTTGGGATTTTTTTGGTTCAGATGCGCTCGAGGAAAAAATGGATTCTTGCTGTCTCTGAGAAAAAAAATCAAATTTGAGAAAAAGAAAGAGCGAGAGTGAAAAACCAAATTAAATCAAATCTGCCGCGCCATTAACGAGAGAGCCGAGGAGGTTGCCTTTATTAGAGAGCTTGAGCCCCTCCCCCTGTTGCTGACGTTGTTAAAAGATTAGTTACTGAAAGGGTTTCTCTGATCCGAATGATCACTTCAAGGTGTATACAGTTTTTTGCAATTGTGTTGTGCCTATACTATAGGTTAAGGCTGGCGTCTTCTAAATAAGAGAGTAATTCGTTGCACAGACATGATCCTCAGTACGCTCAGTTCTTGATGCAGGTCAGAATTGTTCATCGTTTGAAAATGTTTGCCTTGTTCTAATCTGAGAAAAAGTGGCTCACTTCTTCATCCAGCTCCTCTTTCATTCAGTGCTTAATCACTATCATCAGCATTATTACTAGCCGATTATTATCGTTATTATTATTGTCATTGAAATATTACGATTGTCGCTAGCTATCATCACCTTCATCATTATCGTTATTATTTTCATCAACCAATATTTTCATCAAACAAACTGTACAGGATCTGTAATTTGCGGATGAGCTTACATGACAACAGCCACTCTGTAGCTTCCATTGCTGTCACTCTTCTTGACAGAGCCATTCTGAAACAGCCCAACTGCTTCTTCTTTGTCAGATTCCTGCTCAAAGAACTAAACAAAAATAAAAAACCCTCAAATTTGCTCTTCAACAACAAAAAAAGAGACTTGGTCCCGTCCGTGAACTGCACTAAATCTAAAGCGAAAGTCACAATTTTAGTTAATTATCAACATTCAGATATAAAATGTTTCTCTAACTAATGGTTAGCCTCATAATCTGCAGGGAAAAACATCTAGTTTATCGCGCATTTCAAATCACGTTCATTGAGGGGCTGTTAATTTTATTCATTGTGAAGTTTTCAAACCCGGAAACGTTTCTGAAGAGCAAATGAACGCACAGTCATTAGCCAACGTTCATGTTGCCAAACAGGTTCCTATTTTACAATGATCATGTCGCCAATAACATTGAACTATGTTTTATTCGTCCGAATTGAATACACTGCCACTAACCTCCTGTTCCGCCTTTCTTGTCTCCTTTTGCTTTTTGTACTGAACTTTACAGGAGTAAAAGTTCACAATAGCATACTCCATTAGCGCACCGAACACGTATACCAAGCACATCAGCAGAAACCAATCAATGGCTTTAGTGTAGGAGACCTTAGGAAGTGGCGCACGCGCACTGTTCGAAATCGTGATCATCGTAAGGACCGTTGTAATACCCAGTCCTACTCGGGCTGGTGGGGAATCTGGCGAAATCCAGAAGGAGAACCAAGAAATTGTCACTGTTAACATCGATGGGATGTAGGTTTGGATCATGTAGTAACCAAGGCGACGATGAAAAGTGAACTTTGCCACAAGCGCCGAGTGAGGCCCTTGAATAAAATAAAATGTTCATTTTATGAGATCTGATCATAAGGAAACGGGCGCGAGCAAAAAAAAATTTAAATACAAAAGATTAGGTCCTATCCACGTAATGGGCAAATATAATTTAGCACGCTTTAAGGGTGCGGCTCTCAGAGACAAAATTTTTTTCCAAGCTCAGGTTTTTTTTGCCGGTTTTGATACAAAGTTGAGACTTAAATTGTCGAGACAGCCTCTGGTGTTAGCTCACCCCCCCAACTCCATCTCAAGCCCCTTTAGGCATAGTTGCTATCGCACTCACCACTTTCTCCAATGACCCAATAATGTTATTATTATTACCTATTCATATTAATACTGATTTAAAAGACATTCTTTCACCATATCCATTTGGTAGCATTCTTTCGAAAAAATATGACCCAGAAAGGACCTTGAAAGCAGACGATTTTGTTCCTCTATCACCTCACCAACCATAAGGTCAAACAGCTCTCTAGTAACTAATGTTTAATAAATTTGGAAAAGACTTTTATTAAAATCAAATATTTGAAATAAGTGACTATCAAGGCTTGTCCTCATTCAATTAAAAGCACTTATTTGCGTACCAATGTTGTAGATATTCGTTTTCTCTTCCAGTTCCACGTTGGTGATCATGAACTGGGGCATCTCTAGGTCCTCTGCGATGTAAACAACATCACCGGTTGAATTTCTTGAATTCCACTTGTAATACACATCTGTTGCTTGATAACCATCTTTAAAAAAAAAAAAAACAAAAAAAAAACGAGTTTATATGTGAGCTATCTTCGAGCACTCGCCAGTCATAAACTGTGCATGATTATGGTTACATGGGTATTTTTAAGAGTAGAAATGACCTTCACTGGTTTATGTCATAGGCTGCGGTATTGTCAACCAAATAAAGTTGATTTTAATTTTATGTGTTTTATTTTGTCATTCACTCATTGTTTGCTGTGTATTGCATTTTCCTCCTAAAGACTGATAAAGTTTATTTGCTTTTAATAAGGATCCTCTGGTTTATGTCAGAGGCTGTGATTGGTGTCAACAAAAAAAAAATTAGTTTGAACTTTCTGTGTTTTTTTGTCTTCATTAGTTTTCTAAAGACAGATTTACTCTATACGACTGCACTTAAGATCTACCGTCGTCAGCAACACCTGTAGAAGCTAGAATAAAGGAGCCATTATGAAGTGATTCAAGTGTTGGTATAAAGGAGGCACAAGAAAGTCACCAGGAAATGTTTGACTTACACGATTCAAGCATGACTGTACAGGTTTGTACGTCATGTGGAAACATCTGTAAATTAAGTTTGCAAGCCATTGTCACTGTTAGCCTGTCGATAGAAAAAAAAATGAGAATAATCACCATCTATTGGTAAGTCAATTAAAAGTGGAATCCGAAAGAGACTTTTCGCTATCGTCTTTATATGTACGAAAAACAAATTGTGTTATCTGGGGAATTTTATTCAAAGAATTAGAAATTTTGAGGACAAACCTTAACATACTAATAATCATGATTTCTGGGAATGATAAAAAAAACCGGTTTCCAATGACGCTTTTTTGGCATATTTCTTTGAAGAAGTTTTTCGAAAGCTCAATTCCGTTTTCGATATCACAAGCCCCACTCGGCGCCATGATTTCCCAGGTCCTTTCTAATGGCAGAGATAGCATTTACAAGGGTTCAGGAGCATACTTCTAACTGGTGGCATCAAATATTTTTGGGTTCAAACAAATCTTTCTTTGGACAAGAGTAACAAATATAGAGAAATTTCCGCTCACCTAACACTATAAAAGATATTTCCATCCGGTTGAATTTGCAGCAGGTAATTATCTGTTGTGACATCGTGGAAGTATGCTTTCTTTGCATTAAAGAAGTATGTACTTGGAACCCATATCTCATCTATTGTTTGTCTATTTAATGTCAGCGTTTTCTGAATTTCGTTCTCAAGAAATGAAAGTCGAGGATCCTCCCAATACTGGCGAAGATAGATGTCGATTGTAAAATCCTATTGAGCAAAAAAAAAGTAGCAAATATTCAACACCTTTTTCCCCCTATGGAATCTTTCGAATAATTTTTTCCAGATTTCCAACTGATGTACTAAAATGATGGCACAAAATTCGAAAATTCATCTTTCTTCCATGGTCGGAATTTAAACGACATATTAGGTTTACCATTTTTGCTTCCTCTATGGCCCAAATGTTGGACACTAACATGTCCACACGGACATCCATCGGTCGAACTAGAAATAAGAGAAATTTGTTACGCAGTTAGTACTTGTGGGAACATGGGATCAATATCAGTATCTGGGCAACTGCCCACCTACCCCTCCCCTAACCCACCATCAACTTGTTATCGATTGACTGTTGTTGGGTTAGGGGAGGGGTAGGTGGGCAGTTGCCCAGATACTGATATTGATCAAAGTCGTTTCATTATTAAACTGTCTTTTATGAAATAAGGGAAAGTCAGCAAAATATAGCAGTTTATGAATTTCTTGGTTGGCATCGGAGTAAAAATTACCCGGAAAACGTCATAGACTTCATGTATGTCACTAAGGGAACTAAAAAAAAAAACAACAAACAAAAAAACAAACAAAATAATACATAGTAGTTTGCGCTCCCTGATTTTCGCTACGGAAGCCCGGTTTTGTACCCTCAGCAATATCTGCTGGGTGATCCATTAAGACTCAGGTAAATTGTTGGTAATGCTTTCATGACACGTATTCACGATATATTAACAGGGAAAAAAGTCTTTCGAGTTCAGAGGTGGCCGCCACAATAGAAGTCTTCTTAGCTATACAGCTCATAGCTGAATGCCTTCCTCAAACTTAAGACTATCAATAAAAAAAAATCCCTTAATTCCCAGAGATAAGCACCTTTACAAGAGGCAGGTGAGTTTCGTTTGTATTCACTTGGCACTGAACGTAACTCATTAGCACCTGAATTTTATTATCGAATGAATTGATCAAAACTTTAGAAATCCTTAGAATTTTTAAGCTTCAGGATTGTCTTATTTTAATTTCTCAACGCAAGTGTTTGGCACGAAAATACGTTGACATTTTACCTTAGAGAAGATTATTTTTGCCACCTCTTACTGCAAATCTCCTCAACCAAGCTCAAACCAGATTTTAGCGAAAGCGAAGCGTCATTTTGCAAAGGAGATACCATTACTTGACTGATGAAGAAAACGAATTTAAATTCGCTTATTTTAACGAACTTTCAAATTCAAATAATGCACGAGGGCAGAAATTCTTGCAGTATGAATCTCAGTATCGAGTTTATTCTAAGCAATCTTTCATTTCCACGCGTCCATTCACAAAATAGAAGGTTCTGATCGATAAATATTCAAACCGGATACTTCACATTTACGTAGCGGTTATTTAGGAAGGACAGTGAAATCAGCGGCAACGAAATTTTCTCTTAAACAGTCAAAAATAGTTAAACAAAAAAGAGCTTAAAAAGATGTCAGAGATACAAATTAACTTCAAAGAGTCCTTTAAATTTCACGGAATGTTAGCAAAAAGATAGACCTTTTTAAAAAAAGTAAAAGAAGTTTGGGCTCATTTTCCTGCGTCATCAGCTTTTCTAGAATAACTCACTCTTCTGGATAAAAAAGGTGTGACCTTAATGAGCCGAAATCTACGCTACGCCGTAAACTCCCATGACACTTATTCCTGCAAATGGTAATCCCTCAATGTAAAAGGATAATGTCAAAAAGTAAATGAAATAAAATAAAAATTGTTCATATAATTTGTCTCTATAATAAATAATTTCGTTAGGAGATTTATTTGTAATTATCTCCATTTAAGTATTCTCTTGAACGGAACGCATAAATTCATAACTTAACATATTTAAGCATAAAAAGCTCACTATTTTCCCCACTGCTTTATCTAGATTAATCAGCATTTTTTTGTTAACGCACTGAAATGATACGTGACCGATTCAAAACCGAACCGCAAAGGGGCTTAAATCGATCGCTGGACTCGCGTAATCGGAAAAATTTTCATCGACTACGCTTACAACTGGAAAAAATATAAGTGTAAAATTTGCCTTAATAGGTACCCATTAGCCCTGGACAATATTGCCACCTGTATTTATCATGAACAAGATAAGAACCACCTTGCATCTCATGAAATTCGATAAAGTAGAAATTATATTGGATATTTGCTCCTAAGTGTTGCAAGGAGAGCATAAAGAACCATTTTAATTCGGCTGAGCTAATTCTGAATCTTCGCCAACAAGCACCACCTTAGTAAAGTCTTTGCATTGCATTTCCTAAAAATTCAAAGTTAGGCAAGAAAAGCCTCGCTTAACATTTGCCTATTTCGTGGATTGATATTCAAAGGGAAGGATCATTTCTGTGAAAACATGACGAACTATACTAGCTCAAAACTTGACGAGACTCTGCTTGGCTATAGAGGAGCTGGAGACAATGCTACCACTGAAACTATTGTAATTGTTAACTGTGTTCTTAACGCTCCTTTGATGATTATAGCGATCATAGGGAACACGTTGATCTTGGCAACTGTAATAACAACACCGTCCCTTCGCTCGACTTCGACGGCCATGCTTTGCAGTCTTGCTGTCTCAGACTTTCTCGTTGGTTTATTTGTTCAACCGGTTTTCATTGCCAAAGAAATTACTGCGGCTTATTCCGTTGAACGCCTTTACAACTGCTCTGGGTTTGTTTTATGTGGAGTCTCTCTCAGTACGATGACGGCCATTAGTATAGATCGTTATATGGCTCTGATGTATTCACTGAGATATCAAACTTGTTCGACACTGAAAGCGAAACTGACATTTGTATCTATACTAACAATCTGGATATACAACACGTTGTTTTCAATTGTTTATTTTCAGAATTGGCCAGTATATTTTACTATTCAAGCCACTTGCGCTTGTCTTTTTTTATGTCTTACAGCAATATTTTATATTCGAATATATTGCATAGCTCGCCGGCATCAAGTTCAGATCCAAGTTCAACAAGAAGCCGTAAAAAGCTCACCTGATACAAACAGCTTAAATAGGGCACGAATGATAAAAAAGGCTTTTAATAACTTTGTATTTTACATTGCTATGATATTGTGTTATTTTCCAGTAACAATATCAATGTTTATTGCGAGTGCTTCTTTCAAAGATGTTTCAAGGCCTTGGCACTTGGCTAACACTATAGTACACTTGAACTCTGCCATCAATCCTATTCTGTATTGTTGGCGTCTTGCTGAACTTCGAGGGGCAGTGTTGAAGACCATAAGGAAAATGGCGTGCAAACAGGGACCTCAAGGCTGATGTTTTAGAGATCATCCTTCTGGTAAGAAACATTTGGTGATGTTAACCTATTCAACTCATTTGCGTCAAGATCCTGCTCTTTCCGTCAGCAATATAACAGCCAGTCATCGTTCCTTCTCTTTTATCGTAAGCGAACTGAAAACACCGGCTTCAATCGCCTGTCCGCAGTTATCACATGGAATACCTCCATTGCTTCTTTAGGGAGGACACATCGGGTGAGGCTTACCAGTTCAAGCCATGCGTGTCAAGATCCTGCTCCTTCCACCTCCGATATTACAGTCCGGCCCACTGTAGTCATTGCTCTTTCCCTTTCATCGCAAGCGAACTGAAAACTCCTCATATCGCCGGTCAGCAGATAACACAATGTATCTCTTGGACTTCTACATGGATGGCAACATCAGGTGCGGCTTACCAGTTTAAGCCATGCGCGTCAAAATCCTGCTCCTTCCATCACCAATATTACAGTGCAATCCATTTTAGTCATCGCTTCCTCTCCTTTTTTGCCAGCGAACTGAGAACTTCTCAATCTCCTGTCACCAGGTAGATTGCAAAATGTATGTCACACGAACCTGATTAAACGACAAACTTCTTCGAATCTCCTACGCCCAGTGGTATATAATCCAAACCAAAAGGTTAAATGTTAAAGGGTCGACTTTGTTTGGCCCTAGATTATGTGCTTTTTTTCAATCTTCCGCTCAGGTCCTTGAGCAGTTTCATTCGTCGCGACCTGCAACCAGCAATCTGTACCCAGTAACATTTAGGTAAAACCCTTCGCTGTATCAGTGCATTTTCGACTAGAGGATTTGAAACAAAGCTATTTTAAAGATACCAGTCATAAATCGATCGCTACTTGCGAGCACTACACCAACAATTAAATCCTGGTGGAATGTATATGCACGATGATTGTCACATGAACTTGGACGAATGGCTATGTTTCTCATAACACTGGGGTACAGCACTTTTAACTGCTTTAAAGTTTAGAAGCTTTTAGGCTTGCATATTAGCAGCTCAAAGGTTCGACCCCTGGAGAAGAACTCAGATTTTCGAGCATTCTTGTGCAGCAGTAACACTGTATTATCCACAGTCCCATGACGAATCATAGTTCTCCGATCTTTGACAGTGCGCAATGTTCAATAATGGATTAAAGTTTTCTAGACTCGGATAGTCACACTAGTCATAAAAACAGCTTTGTAGAAATCAGTGGAATTTCATACATTTCGTGTATCAACCTAAGGCAGTTTTAGTTTGGTTAAAGTTCACAAGGATGAAGCACGGAATAATCATAATTTCCTGTAAAGCATAATTTTCCATGTTTATTTTCTTCAAGTAACGTATGTCTGTTTTGTTTATTCATTGTCATATCTGTGAGATGATAGTGGGCATCTTATCAGTCGACTTAAAATATTTTTTGTCTATTATGTTAATTGGTATTCCTGTTTGGCACAGCACTGTCATCTATTCGAGTGGGGAGGACTAATCTACAAAATGTCTTAACTCACTGAACATGAAAAAGGCGAAAAATCGTTCAAATCATCATAACCGCATTTTAAAGAACAACAGCTGGAAGAGGACAAAAGAACCAAAGATATTTTCTGTACATCTACATGTAAGCAATTTGAAAATGAAGAATTAAGAAAAACAACGCCTTTTATTTCTGCTACTTTTGGATCATGTAAGCTTTTCTGCACCCGACCTTGCTCTTTCAAGCCATACGGAAATTTGTTTAGAAATAATCACTGGGTATAAAAAAAGAATCAATAAAAGATTGGGAGAGTAGTTTCTTTGAGGTTAGCGTTTGCGATCATGTATCGTAGGTGACAGAATACTCGAAAAGAATAGTAAGTAGTAGGAATTTTGAAAGATTACCTCCAGTATAAGGTCGAATTCTCTTGTCGTATCCTCTCAATAGTTGTGTTACTAGTTGGGACTTGTTTCTTGCGATTTCCTTCCATGAGGGTGTAGGAGTCCTGAGCAAACATAAGGATACGTCGCTATTAATTTTCAGCTGTTCATAGGGTCGTTGACTTTCAAAGAGTTGTCTTTTTAACCAAAATTGGAAACTCTCTCTCTGGTACTAATACTAAATATCATGGTTTGTTTGGCTTCTTTTTGAAATGAACCAAACTGAGGAGTACCATGATGACTTGAAAAAAAAAAAAAAAAAAAAAAAAACGGGACAAAATACGATCACGAAATGCGATGTACTACAACCGAGATTTTGACCGCATTACATAGAAACATAGAAGCTTAGGTGTAACTCGCATCAAAATTTCGGCAAAACATTGGGGTTGCAAGAGTCTTCAATCAGTGTCGCTCGCAACAGAAAACTGAAACTATAACTGAAGTTATTATTGTTGCAACTCACTTGCCACGAGGTCACCAGTGCTTATGCACGCGAATCGTCACTTATGAATCGCAAATGGTGCTTTATCTTCAAAAAATAATATTTTTCAGTCTCGTAGAGAAAATTTGTTGTACTTTCAATGTAAACTTGTAAAATAAAATCATTAAAATATAAAGGTCCTGGTTGTTCTCTAATAGAAAGGCTTGAGTGGGTTTGTAAGGTTTACAATTGTCTATTCTCTCATCTTAACTTGATAACTTGGTTTGGAGCCAAGAACACTTTCTTGTTTGGTTAAAGTTCGCCGTGATACAAAACCTGGGTGATTTGGATCGAGTTAAAAGGATCTTAAATGCGATATGATGCTCGTGATATTTTGAAGAGGACCTTTTGATCACTACAAGTTCTCTAAACAGTCTTAAATTAATGATAAACCCAATTCTGAAAGCGTGGAAATGGATCTTCGGCTACTGGTACGTCATTTTAAAACAACCGCGTTTTTGAGTTTGAAAAAAAAACAGCAATATGACATGACTGATGAGCCTTATAGAATCATTCTTTCATTAAAAATCAATACGTAATTGATACTTCGTCGATGAAAGGCCCGCAAAAGTCACGATTTGCTTTGTCATTTCTAAAGCTATTTAAACATTGCGTGTCCTCTTCATTTAACGAGCGGAAAACGGCAGAGAATTGCATTCACTGCGCGCGATCACTTTCTCGGTTGGAAATCGATGTTGTCCACAACTTCTAAAAGTAATATTCACTAATAAAATATACTCCTCGTGTACCTCATTTTCTTAATAATATAGAAGCATCCTAGGGTGTCACATGCTGATCTGAACAATGACCTTCCAAAATAAAATAGAACTGCTATTTCTACTTTTTGAATCAAGCTGATAAAGTCGGAGATGGGTTGCTGATTTGATGACTGAGATTTCGTTTCGTTGGCGACGTTTTAATACAGCACAAACAAACAAATTATTAGTCGGCTTAACAGCCTCAAAACTAAAGAAGAAAATCTGCTAATTATTATCTTATTTCCGAAAGTCTTCGAAAACATTATGAATATTTGAAATGTTGTCATGAATCAAATCGAAAATCGGCCGAGTCCATTTCGTGATTTTCAGTCTTACTTAAGTGATATCAGTGATTGACCTTCTCGAATAGTAGATTCCCCAGACTGATAAAGAGGTTTAAGAACAGACTAATAAATGAAGAGTCATTTAAATGGGTTGAAAGGTTTTACCAAAAAAATCGCAATGACATAGTCATCGCTATCTGATGAAAAGAAAAAAAAACCAAAAGAAAGGGAAATACACCTAAAGACAATAAAATCACGGCTAAAATGGTTACGCAATGTAAGTAAAATATAGTCATAAAAAAAATATTTATCATTTAAAAAGCTTTCTCGCTAGAGTCAGCTGGGAGAAACTTCTAGACGATGATTTCTGAGGACATTATTTCAAGGTATCACTGTATATACATCGAACAAAATCGGTAAAGCTTTGTTTGTTAAAGGATAAACACATCCACGGTAAGATTCGTCGAATATTTCATGAAAATACCAAGTGGGAATTTTTCATGAAATGAAAATAATCTCAATGAAGCTGTCTTACCCGCTAGCCGCTGCGCTTTGTGTAGTTAAGGGCATTCCTCTTGTCGGCGGCATTTTGGTGACGTTCAGCGAGTGTACAACCACCAAAAGTGCCAAAATCAATAGACTCATTCTGATCATCTAGAAAGTTAGAAGAAGCACAAACATAATATTGAGCCGGGTTGATTTAACCTCTCTTAGTTTTACACGAACGCTCAAAGGATATAAAATATTACAAAGATTCGATGATTCGAGTATTTATCAGACACTAAGTCAATAATAATTATGAAAAAGACGTGCTTTGATATTAATCTGCCATATTCATTCAGCGATCTCGTCGGCGAATACGAAGTTATTTCTTGGCATGTCTCTTTCAAATATTCAATTCAAGAAGAAGCAGTGTTTTAATAGCAACATCAGAACAATCTCAAACTGGGGTTTTTCAATTAAGTTTTAGCGCTGATAACTTGCTCATTGACGTAAACAACAAGGTAAGGGGGTTGGTGGGGTGATTTATAAATGCAGATGAAAATGCTATAACCCTTATGTCCTAAATTACGAATAAATGATAACAATGATTAAATGGAAAACGGGAAAGAGAGTACATTTTAAGTCAACGAGTGCTTCTGTCACAAAACGTGGATCAGACTTCAGCTATCATGTATCATGTAGTCATCTTCAGCTCAATTCGTTATTATTATTTGTTGAGTGACGGGAAAAAGGACAGGATATAGGAAAGGATAGCTGGATTTTTTGTTAGTTGAACATGTTAACGTTTCATTTAGCTTTGCCTTGTTTGCGACCTCGCCGAACAAGAAAAAAAAAACAATTCCTGCAACGTTTTGAGTTCCTTCCACCAATCTCCAAGATTAATTCCCTATAAAAATAATGCGGCACCATAGAAACGATCATGTGTTTGAAAAAATGTTCTTTGTAGGGCTAGCATGGTACACTCGCCGTATTAAAAGTTGAAAGTGAAAGGCAGAAAGCATGGATTTTACTTAAATGCATGGTACCTAAAAGTTGGCTAAAAGTAAAATTTTTACCATCTTGATAACAGATATCTTGTAGATGCTACGTGAGCGGAAAATACCCTGCATAATAAGAGTCCAGACACGAAATGAATGCAGGAGTGTTTTTACTTTGAGGAGGTGGGATCTACTGAAGATAAAACGGCGGAGGAAACTTTCGCTCTTTAGCTATTGGTGCTTAGCGAAGAGGACTTCAAGTTATTTTGCTTGAAACACTGTGGTTCTCTTTGAGGCGTGGTTTCACAAAATAGTAATTTATCAATTTGCAAGGACCCAACATCAACACACGGACCAACAACACAATGTTGGCGGTTCCAGAATTTAACTTCATGTCATGCCAAGAGTATCAAAAATCCTTCTAAAGCTGGAAATTACATAACTACAAGTTTACCTGCCTTGTATTTTCAATTCTTGTTATACTTTTCTTTTTGAAGAACTCGACTCGGAATCAGTGCCTGGCGTTGCATATTATGATGGTGATGTTTACCCAACTTTTCGTGAATGGGGAAAGGAAATCATCTCGATATCCAAAATTTTTACATAATATTTTCGTTTTCATCCACAGATAAAACTACAAATAAATTAGATTAAAGAGTGCAAGTTAGCGATTTTTAAATAAGTTTTCTTAACTTCCTTTGAAAAAAATATTGATATAGAGATATCACGCTTTTCATTTTTCATTTCACTCCAGGAATTTCCGTTACACAAAGCAGGGCATATGATATCTTGAGGTTTTGAGAGAATTTACTTATAATTCACCTCACGATATTATTTTTGAGTTTGAAAAGTCGCGGTACAGAGGTGTGTTATTAGTTCTAGGTTTCTCTGAACTTCCACGCCATATAAAAACTTATCAAAATGACAACTCTGAGGACCATAGTGAAAAGATTTTAAAGAAACTTAAAGGAGCACTGTTTTGCTTACTTTGAGTGTGCTCTGCAGCCTTATTGGATAGGAGAAACTGTCATGACAATCCACTGCATAATTTTTGAGGTGACGGTTAAACACTCAGTATGCTTACTATCCCTTTCTCTGCTTAAAAAATTTTTCCTCTTGTTCTTGTGATTTCTCTTTCTGCCGGTTTAAAGGAAAAATATAATAACACACATGCCTATAACCTTGCACGGTGTACGATTTTGACTCACATCAAAGAGATGAACCCTTGAAAACATCGGTAGACGATACTTTATCCCTAACACTAACATTGGCGCAGCATTAATGATCTTCAGAAGCTAGACATGTCAAAAAAACTCAGTCAGTTACTTGACTTAGCAATTTGAAACCTGTCACACTGCAAATAATACAGAGATGCTTATATAAAATAGAATGACAATGGGGAACTAATTTTAAAGCTATAAAGATAACGATTTGCGAAATCCCGATTGAAGTTGAATTCCTCTCAGAACTTCGATCGATGTTAATTAAATTCGAATTGGTAGTTTACAACCATGACGAACTGAGCTCAGATTCGCCATCATTGTGCCTTGGCCGATGATTGTTTTGGCGTGAAGTGTGTGACAATTAAAAATGTCCTTCATTTGTGTAAGCTAGCTCGAGCAAAATATGTATCCCCTTGCATTGGAGACGTTTAAAGAAAGATTATGTTGGAAATAAACAGAAAGATTTGAAACTCCTTGCAACAGTATTATTCAGTGTAGAAGTTTTAGATTTTTCGCGAGTAATGAATAATTCTGTCACTTCAGAGAAAGATAAGTAAATACTTTTTGTTACCTTGGCAAGTTCGAAAATTATGATATCGACCTAAGTAGACTTGTGAATTGCAGTCTTCCTTGGGGGACGATTTTTACTCAGTTTTGTTACGTATAGGAACAAATCCAGCCTGAAATTACAGCCATGATTGCGCGAACGATCTTGTGATATTTCCTTAAAAAATAGTCTGATATTTGTTATACTTCATAGTACGACGTTGTCGCACCTGCGTTTCATTTTGTCTTCCGACGATTTGTGTTGTGTTATACGACGCATTGTCATTCAAAAGGTGTTTTTGACACTTTACCTCGGTATATTTGAGTAAACTTAATCAACCGACCTCACCTCAAATCGATTACGAAGCCGTAGAATGAAGCACAACAATAACAGCCGGGGAATTCCAAGTCCACTGATAGATTAGTTTTTCGCCTGGTGTTATCAAAACAAGAAAGCAAGAGTACAAAATTACGACTATACAAGCGACACGAGATAATGTTTATCACTTGTGCAGTAATTGATTTTTTGAAGCGTGGTTTGGAGCCATGCTGGTTACGCTTGATTTTATTGGCCTTGAGTAATGCCCCTGCGGATTGCACTCTGATATCATTGAGTATCGCAAAATGAAAGAAGAAAAAACTTAACCTTAAATTGATGACGTTTATATAAAGCTATTGAACTATGTTAATGCAAACAAACATAATACAGCTGTGATCGAACCTATTAAATCCTTTGCAATTAACACAAAGAGAAGACAGCCTTGAAAGAAACGTTGATTTTCGCTCTATCGTGGTAAAGTTTTGTATTAGAGTCGACTTAAACTTTAAAGTTCACAAATATTGGCCAACTGAAATAGAATTAGAAAGATAAGAAGCAAACTGCAAAAAACAACACAAACTTTATTTAAACTTTAATGGTGTATAATGGAAAGGGCTGTTGATCACTGCTTTTGGAAGGATGTGTAGTACTGTCATAATTGAGTGTTTTCTATCCTCAGCGAGTAATATTCGCCAAAATAAATGAATTCTTTTTCTGTAGAAATACTTGAATAACTCTATGCTTAATGACTTAATGCTTTCATGTGCGCAGCCGTGGTATGTGTTGTTTTCTACGTTTTAAGAAACGGAACATTAATCGATAACAATAAAACTAAGATCAGAAATAAACTCCGGTGAACTTGATCCTGTGTTTCTGAACAAGAAGTTTTGAGCTAAAATCCAAGTTACTATGGACATTTAACAGAAACATTCGACGAGAATTACAATAGGCGATTTCAATATTTCGCCGTTACCCATGAAGTGATACAAGAATTGAAAAGACATGTGACATTTTACAGCAAAAAAATGACAAACATTGAAAGTAATGAAAAATTAGTTTAAAAAAAAAAAAAACCACACAACAAAACAGATGTGGGATGTCGAACTCAACTCTCCCATTTTACCATTATGGTCATATCACTGAAGTACATCAATTATCCACGAAATCTTTCTTGTGCACTTCCACTCGTTTAACTCCACCCGGGTTTTTTTTAAAATCAGTTTTGAATGCTTTTCTAAGATAAGGATGCTATGCTAGTTTTTCCGGTTCTTTGAAATTAAAGTATGTTTCTGTCAAAACGCTATCAACGTAAACTTTGCAAATTTGTTTAGTCAGTAGCTGTCAACAAAACTTTTTTTATTTGCTCGTTGTTATCTGTGATAGTGGGCTGCATTCTGTTCACAATTTGGTCTGTAATAGAAAACCTGACAAATATAAATTTTTTCCGTTTTATAGATCAACAAAGTACTTAAAGCAGCAGAACTGTATTGCATATTAAATGTTAAAATTGAAGTGTTTCTATCGTCGATACCATTTTGTAATAACAAAAGTAAACTAAAATGTAGCCCAAGTAACGGAAAAAGCCGAAAGGAAAAGTTCTTTCTCGGTAAGAAACTTGTCGATGAATAATGGTCAATGACGACCGCTAAGTTAAGTTAGCTTTGCAACACATCAGGCTACTCCGCAAAAGGTACTATGATATTATTCAAGCTTCGTCTTCCCTAATCTAATTAAACTGTGTATGAAGAACTCCTGCTAAGCTTAGACTCTTGCTCGCCGCAATTTCGTCGGAAATGATTTTTGATTTTTTGTGTGCATCTTATCGTATTGTTTAGTGAAAGTTAGGTGAGTCATTCCTTCTTGCGTCCATCCGAATCCATTTGCAAAGGTATTACCAAATTTACAGATGTTTAGAGAAAAAAATTGACTATAATTTTAAACCGCAAAAAAGGGATGAAACGAAGCGTAAATTACTCTATGCAGTTTTTTTTCTTAAATACACGAAGAAAAAAATAATAACAGATTCTTACCTCCTTTATGAGTCTTTTTGGTGTTCTACTTCGAGTTCCACGATTAATCAACCACAGTCCAAACAATCTGCCACTAAATAATTAAGATATTAGAGTTGGCACTATTGAGTGTTTGTAGACACTAAAGTGGGTAGGGCTAAATGCTCGCACTAATCCTCATCTCTACTAATTACTTCTAAAGACTCCTCATTGGTGTCTGCTTGCCAATGAGTTCTTTGTAGAAATGAAATGGTGCTAATTTTTTCAGTTTGCAATTACTATTAATAATCAAAGAAATCTATCATTATCACTTGCTTGATTTGGATTTTTTTAGTTATCATTTCTTTACTGAGTGTTAACCACCAAAAGAAGATTTTCGTAACAACAATTCGCTTCGCCTTCTTTCTCTGACATCACCTTAGTACTAGTGTTAATTGTTCAATCGGCAGAGCAGTCTGAAAAAAGGGTTTCCTTTTTTAGTTTTAATTTGAGGAATGGTAATAACTTATAATATAGTACATTGTTTTCCAAGCTCATAGAGAATAATTATTTGATTTGCGTCTATGTTTTTTTCCTCAGTTTTGAAAACTGCTGAGCTGTTTGGCGTCCGTTCTCATGAAGGACAAACTGACGAACCTTTCCCACGATGAAACAAACAACTTTGTCCAATTGGCCGTGAGGAAACTGAGGCGACCCCAGAAACTGGGACTAGATTGGCGGGAACATGAAAACAAGATGGCGGCTGGTGGTTGAGGCATGGAGCCGTTCATTCAGTTGAGTTACAACGAACAGTGCCCCAAGAAAACTGCCAAGCTTCCAGAAATAGCATTAGTCAATAAAGGAAAAGTTCCTGAATGCTTTTGGCTAGCTTTGTTGGAGAGAAAGTGCCCAGAAGGTGCGTATACGTTATGTGATTTGTGAAGATTTTTTGGGTGATTGCAACGTCGGTAAAAGTGCTCAAGGTCTATTCGTGCGTCTATTCAAACCCGCCAAAATTTCCAATAAAAATTCCAGGTATAGCTAGCTTAATGCTCAATAAAGATAAATGCTAATCGGTTATGAAGGACAGATTAAATGGTTTTCATACACTACGAATGTCACGCAAAATCGACTTGTGTATAGTTCGAGGTAACAGTTTTAAAGTGAACAATTATTCACCTCTCCCTTTATCCTCTGTGTGCCCAAAGTAGTTGTTTGCACGAAAATTTTCAGTTAATTTTAGCCTCTCAACTTTTCCTTTCACTCGTAAGATTAAATCAGTTCAAACGAACTTTTAGTTGCAAAACCGAATCGCTAACTCATAAGCCAACATTGTAAATTTTGAAGTCGTCGCGAACATTTTAGACACCCAGCCTAGGTCGGCAGACATACATGGAAAAAACCTTAAATTACCTTCTATGTGGTCAAATCACTTAGTATCAGGCAACAGCTGGGATGTTTTGAGTCAACCTTGGAAGTAAATTGTCACTATTGAGGGTATGCACATAGTTCCAGTGTATTTTGGTTTTCAGCAATCTCTTGAATATAGACTGAAACTGTAGACTTGTGTTGCATTTTGAAGTTCTCATGCACTGGAAATATTGCAGTGTTTATCCTGGTTTAGGAAAAGTTTTTTTCCATATTTAGAATGTGGCTAATTTATTTGAAATGTTAATTTGGACTAAATCAATTTTGCAATTGGCAAGTAATCAACAGCTTAGAAATAGTTGTGTTATGGACTCCTGAGATGATAATTTGAGCCAATCAACCATTCTTTCCTCAAAACTTTCAAACAAATTATAATCATTATGAACTGTTCAATCATGGTTAACAAACTTGACATCATTGTCCTTCAAACCTGGAGGTGAGGAAGTATCATGAGAAGAAAACTAGGTCCCTCCATTTGTAATTTGTGCAAATATTGCAGTTTCTCCCTTATTTACATTCAGACCCCTTTGTTTCTTTTATCACACATGTACTGTTACCTAGAAATGCAGTTAATTTCATTGAATTTGTTGAGCACACATAAAATAACCTCACATTTGATTTTACCCCTTTTTTGTAGGGCTTGGTGAAGTTAGTGAAGGATTGGTGAATGATGAAAACCTTACACCAGCAGACTTTCTCGATGATCTGAATGTATCACCAGACATTTGTGCCTCCCCACAAACAAAAATCAGCAATGCTTGTTGCACAGATTTTAAGACAGAGAATGGTGATCAGTTTAAGACACCAGTAACCTCAAGATACAGTCACAAAATTACTGAGACACCATGTTTATTCTCTCAGGATGAATCAACTACATGTATTTACAGCCCAACATCAAGTAAGTATTCCAGATGTCTTGACATGAAATGAATATGTTGTATTTATTTTTCTTTGAGAGATCTTGTTAATGAAAATTACAATCTGATTGTTTTATTTGCACAGTTC